TTGGAAGTCGCCTGCGGTCCGGCGATCGGACGAGTCGAGCCGGCCTGACGCAGGCTGACCACGCCTGGTTGAACTATGAGAGGTGCCGTCCAGTTGAGAGCCAGAGACGCAGTAGAAACGGACCGCAAAACATCTGTCCCGTAACCGTAAACGAGCCAACGAACCCCCACACCGCTCTATCTTCGCCATCTCCGCGACGACCGGAAGTGGAAGCCGCGAAGTTATTAGAAAACCCGCGGCAGCGGAAGCCACTGGGCGGAAGCTTTAAGTTTCGGTTTCGCTTTTCTCCAACGCAGGCTACGGTCGCTACGGTTTCGGGCTGGTGGGTTTGTCGGGTTTGTGGCTGGTTGCGACGACGCGAGGGGCCACGAAAAGACGCCAAGTTGGCCGAGTACGAGTCACGGCCCACGATACGAGCAACGGGCCGTTTGCCGCTGTCGACCGGCGATGAGGTATCCGCGGCTTGGTGTCACGATCGGTTTGTTGCCGTGCACGTTGACTCAAAGCTCGAAGTTATGCAGTTCCGTTCCGGCACCAGCCGCACCACGTTTTCCGGTGCATCGCACGTGGAGGCCTTTGGACGCATTGAGTGAACGTAAAGGTCGTGCCCGCTGTCTTCGGTGCTGTGGAAGAAGTTGGGAGACGGAAGGCGTTTAGGACTCCAGGCCGGGCCGCCGGTTCACTCTGAACGAGAGGCGACGTGTGTGTGCACGCTTTGAGGAAGCCTCCGCGTTTCGCCGCGCTAGACCTCGCCGATCGCGACCAGACCAACCGGACCCCGAGTCCGAGAGGCTCTTGCGGAGCCAGGAACTGCACCGAGGTAGGAGCTGCTCGTTCTGCGCTACCATGCAGTGCTCTACAGTGCTCGGAGCTCTCGGTGTCATTCGTGCTTGCACCGAAGCCTTTGTGACCCCTTCGGACGCGCAAGTCGTACTTCGCAAAGGTTTGGACGGGGCCGCCCTCACCGAGCAGCTCCGCTATATTCCGCTTACTTATGATCGCAATAAAAGCTTGCGTTCTCGGGAAAAAAATTGCGGGACCGCTCTCCGCGCCGCCGACGAGGTTGGCCGCCGCCATGTTCTCAGCTGTTCACTCGCTCCCGCAGCGAGCGCCTTCCGATAATCCTCCCCGTTCCAAAATGCGATGCGCTTTGCGCATTATGCCGTTTACATGACCGCATATTGATTGCGGCAACTGGATTCAATACGACTAAGTCGCATTCGTGTAAACGTGGCTTATGTTCTTTTTCGACATGTATGGTGTATGTAACAATAGCGGTGGTGAACGATGGACGATTTTGTTGGAAGATGCCGGTCGTCTTTCTGCATGTATGGTTTAGTTATACCGGTGGTCCTGTGGTATAAGCGTTTTGTTGGAAAGACGGCAGTCGCCTACGTCATCGGACGCAAAATCATACCAGCCACACCGAATCATATCGGCAAACAAAGTGGCTGCCAGTATAGACAGACCCGGAGCCATAGCGGTGCCGGTATCTCCAGTTATGCAGAACGCCAGACCAAACTAGCTGCATGCGTAACACAAAGAAATTATGGTGGTGTCATACCAGAACTTTACAAGCAGCAGGTTTGTTTCTTGTACGTTTTTTCCAATAGGGTTACACACACCACAGCGCACTACAGAAAACAACACTCACACCTTACACACGAAAAATAAAGCAAAATTCAAACAAACCGCGCTGACTGACAACTCTTACCGCTCATTCACACTGGAAGCGGATCCGCGTTCGCAAAGCGGTTGCGAACGCGGTTGTATAAAGATCCAGTGCAATTGCACGCGCGCTTGATGTCATCGAGTGCGCGTGCAATTGCACTGGATCTTTATACAACCGCGTTCGCAACCGCTTTGCGAACGCGGATCCGCTTCCAGTGTGAATGAGCGGTTAGGCATCTCGGAGATCGGTGCGCATGATTTGGGAAATTCGGTGGTGCTAGAGGTTGAAGAAGACAAAGTTATATAAAAAGAGTTGTCAGTCAGCGCGGTTTGTTTGAATTTTGCTTTATTTTTCGTGTGTAAGGTGTGAGTGTTGTTTGATATATAGTGCGCTGTGGTGTGTGTAATCATGTGTGGTGGCATTTTCCCAGGAACATTTGCTGCACGCGCTCATTAAACCATTAATTGTAAAATATGTGTGTGTGTGTGTGTGTGGGGGGGGGGGGGGGATTGGCACATCGAAATTCAGAGTATATCAGATAAATCCGAATATACGAAACTTTTACCGGCGGGTAACACGAAACCCTAGTTATGAGTCACATTCCCCCCCCCCCACAGACACACAAACACACCACTCCAAACGCCCTAGAAAACACTGAACTTTTTCAGCCAAGGCCGAATTCAGAAAACATTAATTCGGCGTACTTTTGCCGGTTATATTCGGTTTAACCCGAAAACGCTGAACCCTAAACATAGCGTTTGAAGTTAAAAAATGCACGTCTCAAATAAGGCACTGTAAAGGAATTGAGGTTCTAGGCCAATTCGTCGAAAGCCAACTCGCCGACGGCTAATTCTTTTAATCTGTTCTTTTGGAATCAAGTTCGCAGTGGGGAGTATACTGGATGCGCACATGAGGGTTCCCTGGGCAGTACCGAAGCCGCCGCTGGTGCTTATTCTGGCTAGTTTGTAGCGTGAGCCACACTGGCCGAGGTTGAGCAGTTTCGCGTGACTCGCATAATGAGCTGTGCTCCGTGCTGCGCATGCGCGAGGAGCAGTGACGTCACACGGCACACAGCTGGCGCGCCGGAGCCGCCGCCGCGCCCGCCTCGGCGGTCTGCGCATTCCAGAGGAGAGCGTCATAGCCGCGGCAGACGCACTGGCGCCTCCGCGTGCCCAGCTGTGCGCCTCCGTTGCGCAGTAGCCAAGTCTGACGCTGCAACGGAGCCGCTTGATAGCGCCTCTCATTTTGTGCGCATAAGCTCACACTACACATATCCTGGCATAGCCGAGCTAAGCCACCGCAATTTTTTCGAGCAGTTTTGCTTATTTTTACGCGTACGTTTGCTGGTGATATCGTCTACAATAAATAATCCAATCGCACGGCAATGTGCTGTCGTTAGTTGTTAAAAGAAAAAAACAGAAAGAGTGTGCGGCAACGGTGTGTTCAGCCCATGCTGCAGTGTAAGGCCACAGCATTGAGGCTGCGGCATGTTACTGCTTCACCGGTTTCCACTCGATCAAGGCCTTCGTCGGCAATAATTTGTGAATTTAACTCAAAGCGTACGACTTCTCGCCTGCAAGCTACAGCCGCGTGTTTCTAGGAGATTTTATTCACGGCGAATGAACCCCGCAGAATCGGTGCCCATGATACACCTTGAATACGCTCCACATTAAAGTCACCTTATCTTACCGTTTCTATGAATGCGTTTGTAATCGGCGCATCCCCTGCTTGTTTTTTTTTTGTTTTTTTTTTTTTTGGGGGGGGGGGGGGGAGGGGAGAGAGGGGGGGAGGAAACGTTCTACGCTTGGGTGGTGATGACGAAACGAGGAGTACTACGGAACCTGACCGGACCGCCACAAACCAGAAAGTTCATAACTTGAACTTATGAATATCTTTTTCCCAATAACTTTTCCTCTTTCCCTGATACTTCATAAAAGACCAGACAACGCAGCCAACATCGACGCGAAGGTATCCCCTCTAACTACCCAATCTCTTCAGAGATTAGCGTAGTTAAGTAGTAGTAACTACTGCTTTATTTGTTTTTAGCAATCACACAGCAGCAGCAATCGGGACACTGACTTGAGTGCGATCCCGTCGTCGCCAGCGTACTTTTTTTTATTGTTTCTCCACTAGCTGTTATATAATGCCATGCAATGTCCAATCCTTTTTCTTTACGTTCTGTTTTATTTTCATAAAACGCTACCTATTACAGCCTTTTTACATGCGTGCTGTTTTGTCGTTGTGCTGTTTTGACGCCGTGCTGTTTTGGTACGTGCTCTTCTGTCGCTGTGACGTTTTGACGCCGTGCTGTTTTGTCGCGTGCTATTTTGACGCGTGCTGTTTTGTCGCCGTGCTGTTTTGACGCTGCGCTGTTTTGACGCGTGCTGTTTTGACCGTGCTGTTTTGTCGCGTGCTGTTTTGTCGTGTGCTGTTCTGTCGCGTTCCCGTACACTAGATACAAATAATTGAATTACCAAAGAAAAGAAAAAAGAAATGAGGGTGACAACAAGCCGATCCTGGTTAAAAGTGGTGGATTTAACTGAAATTGGTTTTCTAAAGGATGACACAAACACAGAAGTCTCATACACGGCTGATGTTTTATTGGACAAAAAGGAGGAGTGCACAGCACGGGACTTACAGGGATACAGGAAGAGACACTTTCCACAAACTATCATTCCCCAAAAGAAATTCGTCCCCAGACCTTACAACTTCTTGCACATAACCACCCAAGGACAGGAAACATGTCTTTAAAATGGTGGAAATCGTTCTGTATTAAAAAAAGAAAAAAAAAAACATGCCGATCCGAACACCCAAGATACCTTTCGCTATTTGGATTATGAAAAAAGAAATGCAACTGGAAATCTATTGGAAACTTGATATCCAGATAGAAGCCAATAAGATATCTTGTTCCATAAGCCAGATAGCGAAAAGTTATACTGGGTTCTGGGGCAGGGATATTGCGGAATATTTGATGATCATGTTGATGTATGTATGTATATATATATATAAATAAATTTAATTCTTATTAAACACCAATTTGGGCCCTCTTTTTTACCAGGTGGATAGACAAATGAACCGTGCTACACACTCGGCCACCGCTACCTCGAACGCATCCCGAGCCCCTGACAACATTCGACGAACACTGCCCCGTCCAGCTATCTGCACAGCTAGCTCTTACATTCTTCCAGGCGAGAGGTCCGGGGTGGCTTAGGCGGGAACCGCCGACAAGAGAGACAAACATCTGGGGGTGATAACGGATCCGAGGTCGTAGCCTCCAGAAATTTATTACGCGCTGTACAACAAACAAGGCTGGAGTGAAGTTACTTACCCGTTGCAAGATAACGAAGAGTGACTTGTAGCCGTGTCTCTGGTGGAATTGCTCGCCGCATCACAGTGTCCTGTCGCGCTATTCTGGGTCCCACGCGAGACAGCAGCTGCAGGAATTGCTCGCGGCTGACGCGCAGCAGCCTGCGGTACTCCTCGGGATCGCTGTCGAGGAGCTCCTCGTAAAGTTGGTTTTGCATACCGAGTTCCTTTCAGCACATCCAGTCTTTCATCCAAAGCGATCTCCGACACCCACAAGACTCATCTTCATCGCAAGATAACGCTGCGGCCATCGCGGCCAAACGACGCTTTCGATCCACCTCCATCTTGACGATTACTCTGGACAACAGTGCGCTGTTGGCGTTTCGCGGGCCTGTGGGGTCGAGAGTTCTCCTAGTTGTCGTCTGCTCGTCTCATCCGTCGTGTGGATGCTCTCGGGAGCTCGAGGCTCCGCGGATTTGTCATCACGTGACCAATCCGTCCGCGGATCAGTCCGTCGTGTGAATCGACCATGTGGTGCGTAGCGTCGGGAGAGTGGGAGCGCTCCGTCGTTCTTGGAGGCTCTTTACGTCGGTCGTTTTCGGCAACTCCACTCCAGGGGTTGCCGCGCCTAGTTTCCCCAGCGAGCAGAGCCGTATACTGTAAAACCCTTTATTTTCGCGGCCCCTATTTTTCGCGAATCGGTCACAGATGACATAATCGCGACCACAAAATTTCGCGAATTCCAGACGCCTGCATTGAAGATCTTAAAGACCGAAATTTTCGCGCGCCCTTAAATTTCGCGAATTCTTCAATTCGTGAAATTCGCGAAAATTGAGGGCGCGTGAACATTAAGGGTTTTACAGTATTCGGAAAGTTTGGCCAGTGGGTGTGGCGACGAAGGCGCCGAAGAAGAGAAAAGTAAATGAAAGGGAGGAGAGCGCCGAAGGAGCGACAGCGAAAGAAGGGAGCAGAGAGGAGACGACCGCCATTTTTTAGCGAGGCTGTCGGAGACTGGTGGAGAAGAGCACTGCTGAGGCTACGCGTCGTCTGCTACGGGCCGACTTCTTTTTCGCCTGAATAAAAGTTTGTGGCCGTACGCTGAAAAATCTTCATTTATTAGCTTTTTAACCCACTGAGGATTAACAGAATGTCATTTTCTTGCCAGAGCTAGTGATATAAAAGGTAATAATCGAGATTTAGATGCCGATCCCACGCATTCCGCCGGGAGAATGATCGAAGATGGCGGCTCTCCCACTCAGGTGGGAGCAGCCGGGAGTTCACGCGCATGCGTTCATGCCTCTCGCTCTACGCCGCGTGCTGATTGGCTCACTCGGGAGGAGAGCGTTACGGCGGCGTGATCATAGACTGACCAAACTCTCCCCATATACGGCTCTGCCAGCGAGGAGCGAGGGGAGACGGGTCTATATCACAAGAGCGAATGACATTTTAGCGAACAGCGACATTTGAGCGAATGGACGTTTTAGCGAATAACGGGGGCGCGCGTTAACCCATCCGTCGCGCTGCGCTTTACGCCGCTTCGTGGCGACAGTCTGCGGCAGCTCATTACAAAAATATGAACCCACTTGGCCCACCCGAAAACGCCGCTTCGCGGCGTCCGACTATTCGCTTAAGTGTCGTTCGGTGAAACGTGGGCGTTCGCTAAAACGTAATTCGATCAAGTGAGCGCCTCCCAGGGGAGACAGGCCTTCACGTCGGGGTCGGTGCATCGGCGAAGCTGGACGTCGCAGCGACGGCGGCCGGAACTATCGGCGGTACGCAGGCCGACGCCTACTAGAACTCCAAGGCCTGCGCGCTCGCTTTTTTCCATGCTCTGACGGCTCCGCACCTTGCCCGACGATTTCGCGACGTGAGCAGTTAGACGTTAGTTTCCCGCCTGCCCAGCAGATGCCGCTAGTGGCGCCGTCGCTGACTTCACTCGCCCGGCCGGTTACGAGCGTTTCGCCGCAGTAAGGTTGCAACGCCTATTGGCTGAGAGAAAAAGCAAAAACAAGCAAAACAACACAAACAGGAAGTGACGAAAATTTTTTTTGTTTGTTTTTGCATATTCCAATTTTACTTTTTGTTTTTACTTTTCGTTCCTCCAAGTGTTTGTTGGGCGCTTTTCGGAGCGGTCGCGTTGGTTCCATATCAGTGGTTCCAGCGGTCTTTCTTGTATTATACATTGTCGTGTTATGTGCCGCGGTATTGCCGAGTGGAGTTGGTCGTGATATTCAATGCTTGGGAACGAGCGTCGGCAGTGAAGTCCACAGCGCATTCAGCGCATTCATGCAAGCCAGTAACAGGCCCCGTCTCGCCACATGGAGGCCCGTGGGACGCTTGTTCGGAAAGTAAAAGGTGAGTGGAATTTACCTACTGGTGGCGTTCGATCGTCGATTCGACACCGCTGTGGTGGAATTTGATGGCGCTTGGCTACCTCACGTAGCGTCGGGGACAAAGAAGAAGGTAAAAGAGATAATCAACGGGAGTGGCATGTGGCTCCCAAGTGCCGCCTGCGCCGCATTTGCGTGTTGGGAATGTCAGCTTTTGACGAGCTCGTGCAGTCACAAAAGCGTTCTGTCGAAAGACGGGATTTACAAACAGATCAGGCTTCGCGAATGGCCCTCACGGCGCGTTGAATTTGTGGCGGGTAAATATGTTGCTGTTCGTCCTGGTAGGCCTGCGATGGTGTTTTCTGCACAAATACTGTATTCTGCCTCGTGGTACATTCACACCTGCCGCAGAACTGCTAAGCGATTCTGCTACAGGTTAATGGCGAAGAGTTGTGCTCTTCCATAGTGTGCATGTTAAAGTGACAACAAATAAGTGCCTCTTTGTTCTACTTCTCCTTTGGTATTCAACTGGTTTTATTTTCTACTACATTTTGTTCAGAAAGCCGCTGCGAGACAGGCATTATTGATGTATACTATCCAAAACAATGCTTGAGCATGAGACGAGGTAACGGAAATACTTTATGTGCCTGCTTTTTATGTTTTTGCAATTCACCGGCTAGACCACTCTTCTCATGGTTATTGTTTTGTTGGGTGCAAAATTTTCCACCCCAGGTGTCCGATGCTTGCGGCTGATGACTTCTACCTACGTGCATCAAACAGCGGGCCTGCACCTTCGCCGAGACAGCAGTAAAACAGTTCTGGGTAACTGCAGCGACTGGGTCACCGATGCCGTTCCACTTCCTGCACTGCACTTTGCGTGGGTCAAAGGGCCAGCGCATGCCTTTTATGCGTTGTCGCCAGCCATAGTGAGTATGGCTTGGAGTCACGTCATGCGAGTGTAATGCTTGTCACCTGAGTGACGTCAGTGGGTGGGTGTAGAGTTCCTGTATAGGCTCCCTACGGGAGCCAGAGTTGCACATTTGTTTTCCCCGTGCCGCCACGCCGCTATTCGCCGAGATCCATCACGTGAGGAGCAAAGCATCCGGTGGCGTGCAAGAAAGCCACCTTTACGGTCGCTCCGCCGACGTTTCTCTTGCCCCGGCGTATGTTTCCCTGCTTTCCGCCTCCTTTTCCTCCTCTCCTGTTTTCCATGCGCGGCGGCGCGCGCGGCGCCGCTATTAGCCAAATTTAGTCACGTCAGGAGCAAAGCATCCAGCTCGTGCGGGAAAGCCGGCGCTATGGCCACGCGCCGAGGCTGAATGCGCAACTCTGCTACCGTAGGTAGCTATACAGGAACTCTAGGTGGGGGGGGGGGGGGGGGGGGGGGGGTGGCGCCGCCGCCGTTGGTGGGGCTATGACCGGTGGTTTGCAATCACAGACCACCAAGCACCATTGCATGTTCCTGGGTGAACTAGCCGCTCTTGAGGAAGACCAGGGTGCTTTTGGAAGAGCTATGGTGTCCGCTTTTTCACTAGCTCCAGCTGTCGCCACAGGCATTTTGTCGAAAGGAGCAACATCTATGAATGAGTAGACGGCGCTGAATGGTGGCAAGGGGCCTCGCCTCTGACCAAGGGGGTCAAGATAGTCCCGTTTCAACAGAGGACCTCTTGGGGTATTGTACAACACAGGAAATAAAGGGCCCGAAAGTTTTCTACCCCGACGAGGTGTGGGTTATGGCAGAACCAATTTTCTCAAAGGTGCGAGTAGACACAAATGCGGCTTTGTTCCGTGGACACCTTCATGTGTGGTGGCACGAGGCAGTCATTGCTTAACCTTGCTTAAAGATCAACGACTGGACTGGTCATGGGTGGCGTGCCTGAGAGTGGGACAGTAGACGGCTGTTATATACCAACTTTAGACTTCATTCACCCCTTAACTGACAGGGCACTGGAGGCTACATGCTCGGTGAACCAGCCGATTGTCAGTCTTGCATCACTTATCATGCCCCTTTCTCATACAGATGTGCAGGTCAAACACGAGGCAATAAAAGCTTGGCCCACCAACCACATGGCTCCTACCGCCCTGTCAACGTAGGGGCGGCAGAGTTGGTGGCGTCTGCTGAGTGCTCCTGGCATAGCAGCTCGGCAGTGGCGAGTTACTAAAGCACAAAATGCAATACCGCACTTTACTCTGAATGCTGCGAGCCATCAGAGCCAATCCAGTGCCGAAGGTGTGTCACGTGGCCTCTCCGTTGGGTGCAACGGCACGTGGAGCAGTGTCATCTGGCAGCGACAAAGAGTTGGATTGGCTGCGGTGGCTCGTATCGTCGGCTGCGGTAAAACACAAGGTGAAACAAACAAGGTGAGCAGAGTAAACAGATAAAAGTGATTTTTAGAGTGCCTTTAGAGCGCATCACCGGTGCCCCAGGGCGGGCGAGAAGAAATCTCTTCGCCCATCGATATATTGACGGGGGACCGGGGGGAGGGGCCTCTGGGGACTGGGCGGTGCCGAGAACAGGCAAGTATGTGCGACCGGATCTTGGGTAATCGTGGGAGACGAGGCCTGGGGGCCCTCCTAGTGTTTAGCTTTGGCTTTACGTGCAAATATCGGTGTAATGTCGCATGTCTTTGCAGTTTAGATTGAGTGTTTTTGAGCGTTGTGTTTTAGGAACAAATAAAAGGGAGCGGAATACCTGCTCCCGTGAAAGAACCAGGCTGGACTCTGGTTGTTTGACGGACCACATGGGATCTGGCGTATCGGCGGCAGTATGCAATTTCCTACGATGTGTCCTTTAAGTTTCATATATTTTGGTCTTGCATTTTAACCACTATTGTATAACTTGCTCACACCATTGTTTAACATGTTTGTTTCCTATGGTTGCATTTACAATTGCACTGTGTAAAGCCCCTGGCTCCGAGGGTAAAATAAAGGAATAGAA